CACAAACTAAACGTCCATGCCCTGAGTGGGATTCGAACCCAGGATCCCTGTTTCCAAGCGAGTGAAGACAGTACATGCCTTAGACCGCTCGGCTACCGTGAACGGCATTTCTGGACTTTACCCATAGAATAATATATTCTACTAATATGCAAAGTTCCGAAAACTTAAGCAGAGCAGTGCTTTCCACCTCTTTCACGCCGGTGTCTTTCTCGGCTTATTCTTTGACCCTGAAGAAGGAGGCAATATGTTCCTCCTAAAAGTCCGTTGCCTTTCAACGGACTACATGGCGTTATATCCCAGAAGACAGTGTTCCCCAAAAAGAGCTTCTGCTCTGGTGCTACGTCACAGACAGACAGAAGTGTATACATGACCTCCAATTAATTTATGCAAGAAACTCCAATATACTTAATATCAAAATTAGTCGGCTGTTCCCGAGTTGCCGGCAAGAGATGACATAGCATAGAAAATCGTTGTCTTTGTCTGGAAATCCATAAGACTCGCGAAAGAACTGTATTGTTTATACAGGATGTTGAAGAAAGGGTTACAGGCTTGAAGGGGATACAGTAGTCACTGAAATCAGCAAGAGCGTCCTAGTCAACATAAGTAGTACGTACAAAAATCAGTGCTTGCTGGGATATGGGAGAGTCATTTGCTGGATGAGCCTCTTAGGTTATCAACTCCTGGGACCTGTTGTCTTCCCTAAGAGACTAGTAGGTGCAGTTTACCGTCATGTTTTGCTGGACGATTTACCAGTACTCTTGGAACACGTGCCTCTTCATCGATGATAACACATGTTGTTCATGCATGATGGGGAACCACCTCATTTTCTTTGCCTTATCAGACAGCATCTGAACAAACTTCAGGCGAACTGTGGATAGGAAGCCGATGTCAAGTCAACTGGCCTGCATGATCTCCTGACCTCTATCGTCTGGATTTTTGTCTTCCCGAACAACAAAAACTTCGGTGTATTCGGTTCCAGTAAATTAATTAGTGGTATTACACAAACGGTTGCGAATATCTGTCAGGAGGTTCCAGCAAAGTACGCACCTCTGTATGGCGGAAAGCTGAAAGTTTTGTTTGAACGCATGGGAAGCTCACAAGCAACATCTGCTGTATAGCTCACACGAATATTTTCCATATCTCAGCAGGCATTGCTTTCTGTCCATATGTTGGCTGGGACCTCTTGCTCCCTTATGTCAGTGCTATGCCCCCTTAAAGCCTTTAATCAATTTTTAACAGTCTCTATATTGTGTTTTAATATTCCCTTTAACTTACTTTGTGGTACGATTTTCGCCCTGATAAATATTAGAGAGTTACAGGAAATTCATAGTCAAACTGAGGGCCGTTACGCATGTAGCTCTTCATGTAATGTGATCTTGTTGTGAAGCCTCCAATCCATAATTAAAAGAAAGAATGTCAACGGCTCAGGGGCTCATACTGGTTTACAGACGGACACACAAAGTCTCCACTTATGACGGTGTTATTTACTGTGTAAATGAGGATTAAAAATAATAATTTAGAAACGTTGCATAAAATTAAGAAAGTGTGAGGTCTGAGATCCACACAACGGTGACTATAATCACTGTCTCCTAGAATGTGACGCCATGTATTTTGGTAGAACGTACCAACCATGAGAGGAACATGCTCCCTCACGGCTGTCAAGCCCTCACTACTGCAACAGGACTATAATTATTAATCAAAATTATGAATGACTAATCAACAATTCGTTAACGGATTTGGATTACCTGCAATGTGACTGCAATTATCATGGACACTTCTTTGATTAAACTGCATTCTCACGAAAATAAAAACACGTATATCTATTCAATTCCTATGAACTCAGTGCCCAAGAAGGAACACATATAGCAGACGTCAAGTCACAAGTCCTAAGATATAAAAGAGGCTGTAAACAATAAAACTGTTATATAATTCACATCCTTCATATCCATAAATGTGTGTAGATTGCATTCTTATCACTCCGCTTCTCATTAAATTCATTCTTCAGTAGCCTTATAAATGTCAGCACCTTAAATCATTCCTGCCTGACTTGAACAGAACATCCAGTTCTATACTTTCAAGGTACCGGAATGAAATAAAACAATATTCTAATATCTAAAATATTTTTGGACTAGATAAATAAATCAAAATTACGTTCACTTAGAAATTATGGATCCATTAAATTTGGAGAATATTTGTTGCGATACAAAATCATTTACAACGCTGTAAATGCTTACTAATTTTAAACATGAACACAATATATTGAAATATTACGGTACTCAGAGACATAAATACGCACACACAAAGAATACATTTTCTAAGAAAGTGACACCTCGAACATTGTGGAAGAGAAACAAATCCAACACTCCTCCTATTTCCTGACACATGGGTTATGAATTTATTTTCTCTGTAGCTAAAACTAAGCATCGGGATTTGTTTGACCTGTTCTATGTAGCTACTTCAACGACGTCATATATATATATAATTCCTTGATACTTGAAATTGTCTCTATATCTAAAACTTCACAATGAAATCAGAATTGAGACTGAGATATTTGAAAGTTTTTCAAGTGGCCCTCACAGAACATCCAACTTCATGAGAACCTCCATTACTCTGTCTAGTGCAGTTTCATTCGTTAAGAAGTTTTCAGGGTGAAGCTTTTCTGCATAGAAATGAAACCAATCTTTCTCTTAGATGGCTCACTTCTCATGTGAACTGGCTTACTTCTGTATAAAGTGACTAAACTTGTCTAGGAAGGAAACTAGAAATATGGACCAACAAGACTTAGAGAACGCTTGATATGCAATGAGTTTAAAATCAAGTCTGTTGTCTGAACTCTGTGTAAAGATGTATCCATCCGTGCTGTTTCTTTATCTCTTCAGTAATAATCCGGCACGTATGTGAACATGCTTGTAGGATCCTCAAGAAAATGAAAAACCTCTCCAATATCAGAACCTGCTAAAATACAACCAATCGTCCCAGACAACCTCCAGTCCTCACAAGGCTTCTTCCTAAAATAAGTGACAACATGACCTTCTCTATCTTCCTCGGTCTATAAAAAGCAACTACATATCAAGAAGTTCTCCCTTGTATAGTACTTATGGATTATTTTCTTCCCATCCAAGCTACACATTCAGCCAATCGTGATGTCTTAAATTGTACCTCCATAAAATAGATCACTAGGGGCATAAATCACTAAGTTCCCACGATCCATGGTTTTAAATTATGCCTATCATCCCTCTTAATTCCAAATATTTTCCGGAGCACGCTGTGTCCAAATGGCTGTAAGTAGACACCTACACATATTAATATTAATGTAATTAGGTTCTGTGTTTCAGATGCTTGATTTGTTGCAGTGATGCTGAACACTTAAACACAGAAGAGAAATGCATGTAACAGACTTCACAGACCTCGTACAGAAAAGCTATGCAGTTCAATTTTTTGGTTGTTTCGTTTTATAAAGCGATAACCAGGGAAAAATTTACTCGTGCAAGCGGTTGTCGTGTTTCAAAAACGCTTTGCTGATTGTAGGCATTACAATAAACGACAAGTTCAAGCGGTAGGTCCCTCAGTGTTTCTAGCTTGTACTTCTCTCTCTCTCTCTCACACACACACACACATACACACGGGGAAAACGTCACCGTCAACTTTTTTTTTAATCCTGATATTGCAATTCAATCCATAGAGTGGGTAAAATTTGTCCCTGTGCTTAATTAGTTAAGCACTATGCCATGAAGACATATGACGAAATAGAGGTATAGCTTAAACTTTCTTGACCTCAGCACTAGATGGAGGTGAGTGGTCAGCTTCACGCCCCGGGAAAAGAGCCCCCGATACCCATTGGATAGGAGGCTGTGTGAACCCCATTTTCGATCTGGAATCTATGGAGGAGAGAAAAGTATTGTACTGCTGGGAATCAAAGCCGGGTCGTTCAGTCCATGGCCCATCATTATACCGACTGAGCTGTCTCAACTTCTGGCCATACAATGGGAACAGATAAAATGTTTTATTTGTTCTAAGGACGTCTGGTAATAAACGTAAGTCACTCTATGTCCCTTGGCAGCCCTGTCACCAAAGAATGGATCGAGTGTATAGGCAGCTCGGACGTGACAAATGGAAACCTGCCTGTCCTGTGCCTCAGTCAGTTGTAACGATTCATACATTTAGCGAAATCACGAAACGTACTTCAGACAGTACAAAGGCAAATTGAAACTGATAGAATCTTAAAACAAACATTACTGCCATGACATGTTTATAAAAATGCAAATGCAAAGAATAAAACTGATTTAAACATAATGGAGGAAGATCTACGCCACAAATTACTACACGTGGTTCTTTTCCAGCAATCATTTTCCAAATAGAATTTATGAACTTTTCAACAACCTGTTAGAAGGATATTTCTTATAACACCGTCTCCATTTATCACAATAGTTTCTTTGAGAATTTACTTGCAGAGGAGTTTCGGCTTTCCAGTCGTGTTCTCATTATCAATATTAATATTAGTATGATTTAATTTGCGTGGGAAGTCTTGGGAGTGCAACTTCTTGTAACTCAGTAACCATGCAGCACTCACGTAAGCCACGTAATACCATGCTGTATATTATATAAACCTTAAACATAACAAAACCGTTCCTTTTGGAAAAATGAACCAAAGAGAATTACAGTGAAGGAATTACGTAAACGTTTCTACCTGATGATGATCATATAAGGTCGCGATATGCCGGAGAAGTGACATTCATAAAAGAGTGGCAAAGGGGCACACCAGCAGCCTACGAGCATAGAATGTAGTTACACTTTCAAGATGTGAGGGGAAATTTCACGCACTACACATTGTGCGTATTTTCAGATGACGTGATGAACACTTCGGCTGTAAAGTTTTGATGACTTTACCTGAACTTTGATATAACTTCCGTATATTCGTCTTTTACATTAATGATTTAAGTAAGGTGTGAATGTACAGAATTCTTTTGAGGATACTCTGTAGATAAGCGTATTTAACTCACCAACGACAGTCATGTCTCCATGGTCGGACACCGTCTGGAAGGAAGGTGCCTCAGCAGAGACCTCACAGCGGTAACGTCCCGTACTAGACAGGTTCACAGATTTCAGTACAACCTGGCTCTCCGTCGAGTTGTGGATCTGCAACACACGGCAGCAAGCTCTACATTCCCAATATCGTTTAAGCTTCACCATCTACTACTACTGTTAATGACTCTGCAGCCCAGTTTGGGCCCTGGTCGCTTCTCTCAGTTTATTAATCTTATGCACAGTCTGTAGGACTCCTTGAACAAGGGATCAGTCATCGCAAGGCCGCTACCTACACAGAGAACAACACAAACACAGAAGAAACGCAGATATCCATGCCTCGAGTGGGATTCGAACGTACGATCCAAGTGTTGCTTCAGTATCTACAAATCCTAAAATAAGCATACGTTCTAAGAATGATATAAAATGTTGCACAGTTCTTCCGCTTAAATACTTGGGAGAAGAATGGCCAAGCTGCACCAGTCAGGAAGGCAGCAGATGTGTGTGCTGAGCTAACGCTATCTCTCTAATATGCCGTGGAGGCCCATACGGTTTTGAGACGGCAGCTCTTTAACCCCAGGAAGGTTCCTGGTATTCATTTACGTTATAGGCTGAGTCGACCGCAGGGCCATAATGCTGCTGGAAGTATTAGGTCAATTTAGAAACCCAATGGAGACAATGGGAATCGAACCTGCGACCTTCCGGCTTGTATAATAGTGCCTAAGCCAACTAGGCTACCGCGTGACCCGGGAGTGCGAAAGACGCTTCAATAGATAAGCAAGGTTTTGTGTGGTGGAGTGATAGAAAATTTACGTGTAATGGGTCATTCTATGCAAAATCAACAAGGTTCACTTCCCCATCTACTCTGTTTTTAATTAACTTTGGGTCAGTTCTACGGCCCAATAGNAGATTTGAATTTGATTTATGGAGACCTTCTCATAAACCAGGAAAGATGAAAAAATGAAGGAGGATGAGACTAGCGGGAATGTAGCATGTATAGGAGAAAAGAGAAATACATACAATATTCTACTCCCAAAACGTGGAGGAACAGTTCACTTGGGAGACACATATAGTTTTAGAAGAATATTAACACTGATCTCTAGGAAGTGCGGATAGAACACATCTGGCTCAGGATAAGGTAAGAGGTATCTTCGGAGCACTGTAATGGAATTTGAGTTCCACAAAAGGGAGGGACTTTTCCAATCAGTTTCTCAAGAAGAATACACCCGTGTATTAACACACTCATAGACGGCATCATATTAGTGTAAAGATTATGTGAGATCAAATTACAGTATCAGTAAGTGAAGAGGACATGAAATGTCCCGGAGTCGTTCCTACATAACCATAAGAGAGGTATTACAAACTAAATCCAGCGAGTAAAAGGTAATAAAAAAAAAAGGTAAAGTTATCCTTGTAACAGGCCTTGAAGGCCCACTTGGTTGTGAGACGCCGAGGCTCCCATATTTACTAGAATTTGTGAGACGTCGAGGCTCCCACATTTTATTAGACAGTCGGCTCATAGACGGATATAAGTTTGTTAGCCTTACGCATCGGCCACCCTTTATCCCCCAGGATTATTCCTGGTACTCATTTCTGTGGCCATACTGTGGCTGGAAGGATTAGGTCAATTGTAAAAGTCCACCTAATTGGGACTCGAACCCGCGACCTTCTGTAGCATAGTGCCTCAACCAACAACACTACCGCTTTCCCCTTGATAAAAATAATTTGTCGCATATTCTAAGTAGCATGGTACTGCAGAGTTAGGTTACCCGAATCTAACTCAATGGAATCGAGTTTTACTCAGAATGTAACATCAACTCGATCAAATGGTCTCATGTAGGGTTTAACGTGCACACAGCCGTGATGAGGGAGAGCTCTGTCTCTTGGGATATAACACCGTGCAGGCCGTTGAAGACCTGTGGAATTTGGACTGCATTATATCCCAGAATTCTTCAAGTTATTTTCCGCCTTTTATGAAACCTGAAGGTTCATTAACTTATTCACAATTCATTCATTCATTCATCAATGACTCTACAGCCCTTTGTTGGGCCCTAGCCTCTTCCTAAATTTTTTAAATATTTTTTTACACAGGCGGTAAAACTCCTTGGACGGAGGATCAGCCCGTCGCAAAGCCGCTACCTACCTACATACAGGACAACATAAACAGAATAAACGCAGAAACATCCATGCCTTGAGTGGGATCTGAATCCACGATTCCAGCATTCGAGTGGGCGAAGATAATGTAGTTCATGCCTTAGACTAGGAACACACACAGCGACATGGTCGTACGACGTCCGTACGGTTCATGTCGCATCAAGTAGTAGAATATAAGGTGTAGTATTAGCTTTAATACGTGAAGATATGCGACATCTACCGTACGGCAGTCGGAGAGCAAAGAAATGTATTTGGTCGCTCTGGTATGAAAAGGAAGTCGTGCGGGGAAAAAAATCGTACGACTTTTTCCGTACGACCGATGTCGCTGTGTGCGTTCCTAGCCTAAGACTGCGCAGCCACTTCCATTCACAAGAGACCTCTATGACTCTAGCTCATCTCAACCCATTTGACTCATAAAGCACGTGGTATATAGCTTGAAATGATTACTGAATTATTATCTTCGAAGAAAGTAAACACTGATCTAGAAGTAGTTTCCTTTGCATGAAAACAACTTTACTCTGTTTAATACTTGGCAACCCTTCCTTCTTTTCGTCGCCTTCTTCCCGGCTTATTTTACGACCCTGAGGAAGTCCACACTATATAGTGTCGAATAGCAGGATGACTGGTGTATGATAAAGTGGAAACAATTTGGAAAGAAGAGGCAGCGGCATAATCGCAGTATTAGACCTTTATTTCATTGGAGGGATCGAGGAAAATCACAATGAAATTCAGTCGGCATATTAAGCCTAGAATCGAACCGATCGCCTCGCGAATGCTAGCCAAAAGTGTTACTGCTAGAGTAGCGTGTTCTATTATTCAACGTCATGTTACACCCCAGCCCAATCTCCAATCTTAGTTAGTTAGTTAGTTATTGGAGAGGGTGGGTTTCCCCATGCACTGAGACCTGTATTGGTCCACTGTGCTTCCCTCTATGATTTCTACCAGTCTCTATATCCTACCGGTACTGGTGCTTACCATCAGTCCCGCCCAGCCAGCGAGACCGGCTCTACTAACTGAGAGGTATCTATAATGCTTCCCCCATCTACCAGAGGTATTAGAGACTGCTGTTGGGCGGGAAACGTCCGTAATTTGGCTCAGTGACCTCCTTTGGAAATATGAGGTTCTTTTACGTGCCGTAAAGCTACGACACGGGACCCACGGCTTAAAGTCCCTCCCGGTGGACTTGTTCCCTGAAATTTTCCGCCCTTAAAAATTCGACGACCTCCGCCGGGTATTTGAACCCGCGTACTACGAGTCATGAGGTGGGAACGTTGCCTCTAGATTATGGAGGTCGCTTCCCCAATCTTAATATTACAATTACCTCTTTTACTTTCCCTGAACACAAAATTCTCTCAGTTCTTTTTGATCTGAATTGGTTTTCGCATGACGTAAGGATTTTGTTTTATTGACAAAACTGAATGCAGTATCCCACAACATACACCAATTCATCAATGAACAAAACCATGCTATGATATTACAATTTCTCTTTTTCCAATATATTCCATATCGAAAAGCAGGAAGAGAAGGGAAAACTTATGAAAATGGAAGCAAGAAAGACGTAAAATACGAATATAAATAAGAGAATCTTTTCCGAGGTAAGACAGAATTGTTTATATCGAAAACATATAGATCGGTTCACCAGAACATATATAGTGCATTCTGTAGGCCGTATATGCTCGAATATTACAAAATATAGACTGAAGAGTGGAAAAATATCTTCAGTTTCTCTTCTCTTTTCCATATTGTTTCGTTTCCTCAAGTTCACAGCGGAAATAAAACCCAGACCTGCATCTACTCTGAAATCGATAGCGTTAATACGTGTGGTGTTCTACGTTAAGAGGAACCAGTTTTACGTACTTCATACTGCCTCCTCTGATGTCGCATAATTTCTCATGTTCCTTCCACCTTTGATGCCAATAATTGTAGCGGAAAGACATCCGTATATAACGTGGTTATTGAAGGCTGTATTTTTATTATTTGTAAATAAAGCTTAAATCGTTCTCGAAGTGCATGCATCTTTGCAGCCACATTAAAAAACTGGTCTCGGAAAGAAAAAGACACTTCGCTCTGGTAAATAAGAACAGTTCGTTACTTCTGAAATAAGTTTTATCGTGACTGAATCCTTATTTCTGAAACCAAGTAGGAAATAAAACTTTTTGTGTGGAACTTCGAAATGTACGAACACGTGACTCTTCCTTATGTATCTTGTAACACAGCAGCACAAGGAAAAGGTAAGCAGATCAGGAAGAACGAAACACCAATAATAACAATCTGCATTCCAGCCGCCGTACTTATGTCCAAAGCATCTCGTGACTTCAGCCTCATTTTGCCAGAATGAAGTGGCAAGATCACAATTAATATGACATAAAGAATACACGAAGTATATATAGTTACGCTAAACTGTCACAACGCCGGTCACGGTAGCCGAGCGGTCTAAGGCATGCACTGTCTTCGCTCGCTCGGAAGCCGGGATCGTGGGTTCGAATCCCACTCAGGGCATGGATATTTGTGTGCGTTTTTCTGTGTTTGTGTACAGGTAGAGGCCTTGCGACGAGCTGATCACCCGCCCAAGGAGTCCTACCATATGTCTAAGATCTAATAAAAACCGAAGTGAAACGGAGAGTTTCATGGAGGTAGGACTAGGTCCACTGGGGCTGCAGTGCCAATGAAAAAAAAAAAAGTGTCACCACAAAAATATACAGTCGATTTAATTTGTATATGTATGTTGTATGTTTCGGTCACAAAGGACTGTCATAAGGCAATTTGTTTTTCTTTATTCTAACTTTAAAATAAGGAGAATAATAGGATATTACGACAATATATTTCACACGAATATCTCTGATTCTAAAATTATTTAAAACATCCAACGATTAACAATAAGAAAATTAACGTAACATTAATGTACAGCACAGTATTACTTACACGCTTATTTATGAAAGAGAGTAAAGTTACTGTGCTTG